TGTCAGTTGAGGAGAGTCAGCTGACTGGATTGGGTGAGGCAGCCCCTGAAGCCTCTCTTCCATCCTAAGGCGCACTGGAGAGGCCGTGTCTCTGCTCACACTCGGACGCAGCAAGTCTGTCTAGCAGCTAACAAGACAAGGCCGTCCTTCACCCCAGGTGGCACCATTACAACCTTCTGTGCCTACGGTGCCAGCTGATGTGGACCCTGTGGTTCATAGTTCTCTGCCTTGCCTGGTAGCTCGGCCCTTCCTCCCAGGACAGCAGCACACAGCCATGGTGTGTTTCACTGAGAGAGAGGCATTTGTTTCGGTCATAAATACTTCCAAATGCCAGTCATCATACTGGACAGACGTCTAGGTCATGGAGTGAACCTCCACGGCTTCCTTCACCCTGGTGTTTTATGGAGTCCTTAACTTCTCTAAGCTCATTTTCATGTGTTCAGTGGAAGTAAAACCTGCCTACTGGACAGACATAAATTAAACATGAAGGACGTAAAACACAATGAGTTTTTAATTAGTAGCAGAGGAAGTGGTGATTATTAGCATCTCCCTGACTACCTGTCATCACAATTACATCACTAATCGCCACTGTTGCCACCATCATCACCACCATCACTGTTACAATCATCACCACCATCACCACCTGATGTGGGAGTGTCATATATCAATCTGTTGATTTCATTGGTTAAGTAATAAACACACTGCTTGGCCTCATAGGTTAAAGCATTAGTTGGAGGAGTAAACAGAATAGAATTCTGGGCGGAAGAGGAAGTGAGGTCAGACTCTGCTCTGCTTCGAGAGGGACCGGACAGCTCTGCTCTCTGGAGCAGAGACACCAGGATGGATGGAGGCTAGAATCTTCCCGATTTATTATGCATACAGTGATCTGCCTGCATGCAGGAGGGCACCAGATCTCATTATGGATGGCTGTAGCCACCATGTGGTTGCTGGGAATTGAACTCGGGACCTCTGGAAGAGGAGCCACTGCTCTTAACCTCTGAAGCATCTCTCCAGCCCAGCTTGATGTATTTCTATGACAGTTCTTCCTGCAGTGCAGAATGCTAAGTGTCCTGAAAGAGGAAGAAGGAATCCTATGACCAGAGCCTCGTCCCTAGACTGGACCAGTGGGAGCTGGCTCTGGTTTCTTCCTGGTGCTATTAGACATAGCCAGATTTTCTCTGGCTAACGCAAAACTATTTTAATTCTAAAGGGTTTTGTTTGCTTAGTTTTTAGAAGCCAGAAAAGAACAAGACAGTGGAGATGGGGACTGAAGAGAGGGGCCTGGACAAGAGGAGCTATGGTGTGTGATAGCCTTTCACCTTACTGGGTTACTACAATTTACACGGCCCAGCTAGAGCTACGCTCAGAATCTTGTCTCAGCCACACCCATATTACTGTCTGGAAGTTGAGTTCCACAAAACCTTCTGACTAGAATGGAAAGCCCGAGTAAGCAAGGCCTATTCAAGACTCACTGTTTCCGAGAATCGCTTTGAAACCCTTGCAGCAGGTGCCTGGCTTGGGTGTGATGCGAACCTTCCTTCAGGTTCCTAGAATGTTCTTAGGATGAGCTGAACATGGGACTCCGTGGACAAGCACGAGGGTGAGGTGAGCCCTTGCTGCCTGTGCTGCTGCTCAGATCCTGTGTCCCACACAGGTTTCCAGTTCCCCGCAGTTCCAGCCCAAGTCGGCGTATCTGCCAGCTCCAGCTCCTTTGCCCACCTGGCCCAGGTTCTATATAACTTAGAACAGGAGCTAGGTGGGTCTCTGTGACCTAAAATTCCACAAAGGCTTGGTTACTAAGGAGTACTAGAAAGAGGCCCAGACAGTGTCCATAGAGACCACACCCTTGGTGTCCCTTTTTTTTTTTTTTTTTTTTTTTTGGTTTTTCGAGACGTGGTTTCTCTGTAGCTTTGGTGCCTGTCCCGGAACTAGCTCCTGTAGACCAGGCTGGCCTCGAACTCCCAGAGATCCGCCTGCCTCTGCCTCCCGAGTGCTGGGATTAAAGGCGTGCACCACCACCGCCTGGCTCCTTGGTGTCCCTTTTGAACCTGCCCCTGGCTCCTTTTCTTGAGACATCTCACTGTCTCCTTAAGCTCAAATATTCTACCCAGTTGGACGACAACTTCTTGCCCTCATTTTCTACTTAGTCCCAGCGTGCTCTGCACGCTCCAGCTTTAGCGGCCCTCCCGAGTAAGCCTGGTTGAGGCTGGCGTGCCAGCAAACAAAAAAACCAAGGCCTGACTCCTACCTCCCTCATATTGCATCACCCCCTGCCCTCTATGCCATGGCCCACAGGTCTTCTAGAGGAAGTCACGCATGCCGCACGCCCTCACCAGGACTCTCGTTCTCACCACCTTCTGTGGACTTCCTGTTGAAGCTGTTTTGAATATTTTCCAGATCAGGGTGCATCTTCTGAGTGCCTAGGGACGTTGAGAGCGGGGGAAAGCAGGGGCCACCCAGTCACTGCTATCCAGCTCAGCCTCAGGTTTTCCTGTTGTCAACACCTGACTTCTGCTTTGTGTGCTCACCAATTGTCACATAAGTATGACGCCTTCCGCGGCCAGGTTCCCTTGCCATTGCACTTGAAGTGTTTCTAGAGCTGGATGGAGGAGCGGATACAGCTCATCTGCAAAGTGGGCAAAGTGGGGAGCTGTGTCAGCTGCGCCCAGGGATGCACGCACTTGGCAGTAGGCACATGAGATGGGCCCACAGGTAGAATGGGGAACGGTGGAGATGCATGGGCACAAGGGTGGTAGCCAGGAGGCTGTGGGAGTGGTCATGGTGAGGAAGCTGGAGGATGCGCAGAAGCAGGTTCTGTAGGACCGTGGCAGCCTTGTCAAGGCATCTGGACAGTGTTCCTTTGTTGGCAGAGACTGCTCGTTCATTTTCCGGCCACCCAGACCCGAAATGATCACACAGAAACTGTATTAATTAAAACACTACTTGGCCAATCATTTAAGCATATTGCTAGCTAGCTCTTACATCTTAAATTAACCCATTTCCATTATTCTATGTATTGCCACAAGGCTCGTGATTTACTGGTAAGGTTCCATCCACCATCTGTCTCCTTCCGTGACCACATGGCTTCTCTTTGACTCCACCTACTCTCTCCTCCTCTGTCTACTTGGAATTCCCGCCTTGCCCTATTCTGTGCACGATAGGCCCACAGCGGCTTCTTTATTAATCAGCGGTATTGACAGCTTACAGAGGGGAACCCCACATCATTCCTTGGTGGCCATCAGGAGTGAAGTTCTGGGTACTAGACTTTGAAGTAGTTCTGGGATATATCGACTGTTCTCGGGCTTTTTTGTTTGTTTGGTTGGTTTTGGTTTTTCAAGATAGGGTTTCTCTGTGGCTTTGGAGCCTGTCCTGGAACTAGCTCTTGTAGACCAGGCTGGTCTCGAACTCACAGAGATCCACCTGCCTCTGCCTCCCAAGTGCTGGGATTAAAGGCATGTGCCACCATCGCCCGGCTTGTTCTCAGGTTTTTGTGACCCCAAGAATGACACCTGCCAAATCCTGTGTGCTTGGATGACCTGGATGGGTAACCGGGATGTGGCCCAGAGGAAAAGGGAGTGATAAAGAGCCGCTCCTTTGCTGAGCAGCGGAGGGGGAAGGGGCTCGGATGGGGTTCACATCAGTGAAGTGAGGAGGAGGAGGAAGTGAGGTCCTCCCAACTGAGCTGCTGTAGGCCACACAGAATCTGCCAGAATCAGCTCACTATGGTGAGAAATAATCCTGATTGGAGGTGACTTCCTCTAACTCCTCTTTTCTCTCACACACGCACACACACACAGACACAGGCACACATACTTCCTTCCTTATCCTTGACTGTGTGATTTGGCAGTACAATCCTTTCGCTGACTTTGGAGCTGTGCCGCATTGTCTACCAGCGCACTAAGTGGTCGCTTCTCCTCTCTCTGCTACTGTTTATTTGAATTCTCATCTTCCCCCATGGTCTTGCTTGGTTGTTGGTATGCTCCGTTCATTCCAAGGGACTGTGCTGCGAGGCTCTGGCGATCTGGAACCACACCCCTTCCTTAGCCTGACAGAGAGGATCTCGCCAGCCAGCACACCACTCATATCCTGCTCCTGGTGCCTTATGAATGTTCTTGTATTGGGACATCACATTCTCCATTCCTGTTGTCCCAGTTCTGGTTCCTGCCACAAAATAGCATGGACTGGATGGCTCAGACAAAAGGCATTTATTTCCCACAGTCCTAGGGACAGACAGCCAGGAGAAAACGTCAGCACATTCAGAGACTGGCATGGGCCAGTTCTCCTTCACAGACAGCCAAGAAGCTCTATGCGGCCTTTTATATAAGGTCACCAAGTCTGCCCTGCTTCCCTGACATAATTACTTTATGACCACCAACACATTAAGGATAATATTGGGGGTCACTGTGTCAATATATAAACTTGGGGGACAGAAACATCCGGAGCATAACATATGTTTCCTCACTGAAGAATGGCATCTGCCCATCAGCGTGGGCAGGTTTTACAGGCAAAATAGTTTTACACTTTAAAAGATGTTGAAATATACTGTTATTTAAGAAAAAACAAAACAAACAGTATTGCGATGGGGTTGAAGAAATAGCTACCCAGTTAAGACCTCGTTCAGTTCCCAGCACTCCTGTCGGGCAGCTCAGAACTGCCTGTAACTCCAGCTCCAGGGGACTCTAAATGCCCCCTGCTGGTCTCCATGAGCACCTGCCCTCAAAGTTTACATTCCCTCCCAAAGACACAACACACACGCACACATGTGCGCATATGCACACACGTAGTGAAAAAAATCTTTTTTTAAAACTACCGCCGTTAGAGATGTTAGGGGGAGATTCTAGAAAGGACTTGAGGGTGACTTTATCACTATCTTAAAACCTCAAGCAATCAGAATAATTCACATAAAGGGATGTCACACACTCAAGGATTGTTGAGTTTTCTGAGATGGCAAGCCATAACCGCTTACCTAAAATTCAAACCTGGGCCCATTCCGTTTGCAGATCGCAGAGGGCATGGCCTACATCGAGCGGAAGAACTACATCCATCGGGACCTGCGAGCGGCTAATGTCCTGGTCTCGGACTCCCTCATGTGCAAGATCGCAGACTTTGGCCTCGCCAGAGTCATCGAAGACAACGAGTACACAGCGCGGGAAGGTATGTACGCAGAGAGTTACGGGGCCTTTTCTATGTGAGCGTATTGTGCGCTTCCCCCACCTTCTACCCCATGCCTGATGCCCTCCCCTTCCCCACCCCCCACAGCCCACCATGTGTTCCCTCCCTTCCCACAGACCACCTTGCCTCCACCTTCCAGATAGGGCCTTGCTTTGCAGCCAATATGTGTATGAAACTTCATGCCAAGACACGGTAAAAGCAATGTTTTCAAGTGATGGCTACGAACCCTTAGCTGTTCCATGACTTTTCTTATTAAAGAAAAATCTGAACTGTTTTGTAGGGACATTTTGTTATGTTTTTTATGTTTGGTGTTTTGAGATGGAGTCCTGCTTGACTGTCCAGGTTGGTTTTAAACTCTTAGGATCAAGAGATCCTTCTGCCTTATCTGAGACTACAGGAAAACACCAGCATGCTCGCCTCTATAAAATGTCTACACCGTAGATCAGTGCTAAAAAGTCTGGTTTGACAGGCAAAAATACACACTAAGCAAAATGTCTTTACATGGTATGCCATGTCCTTTTGCGGTTAAAGTTAGGCCAGTTACAGAGCCCACCTACAGGCTCTAAAAGAAACTGTGCTTCTAAGGAAGGGAGGGCCCAAAGGGAATGGCATTTGATACCACGTCTGTTTTGACTGTGCATGTATCTTACCTATTCCAAGTAAATAACTTGAATTTCTAAAAACTCAAAGGAGAAAATGATCCATGACCTTCCAGCCTGAGCTCTGAGTAAAAGCCCGTGTCTCCCTCTGCAGGTGCTAAGTTCCCTATCAAGTGGACGGCTCCAGAGGCCATCAACTTTGGCTGCTTCACTATCAAGTCTGATGTGTGGTCCTTCGGAATTCTCCTGTATGAAATTGTCACCTACGGGAAAATCCCCTACCCAGGTATTGCTTGCCTACTTCCCTCTCGCGTGTTCTGTGTGAAGGAAAAGCTAAACAGCCTGAAGACGGTTACAAAGTAAAATAGCGCCGTCTACCCCAAATCCGTGCTCCCGGCAGAGTTCCGGGACGTCCTCCTCTGTGAAAATCTTTCTGAAAGATGTGTGGGTCCTTCTTGGCTTTTATCCTACTCTTCCTTCTCTGAGTCCACCACTTCCTACCTCGTCTGCGCTTGGTACTGCTCTGGGCGCTTAAATGAGGCACCTTAGACACTGATGGCCTCCTCCAAGGCAGGGCTCCATCCAGATGGAGCAGAATGTACAAGAAACCAGGGCCTTCAACATCTACTTGTGAGAACTCGGGTGGTGAGCCGGGTGGTAGTCTCTCCCTTCAGGAGGTAGTTGCTACTGTTCAGCAGTGAAGGACTCTTCCAATCTTCGGATGTCACTGAGGGCATCATTCATATCTACAGCTGAATTCCATTGTTCTACCGGCTCTGCCTGCCTCCAGAGTCTGTATTGACATGAAGAAGGGTTCTTCTAAAATTCCCAATTTCTCACTAGCGTCTTTTAGTCAAAAACTGTGTGAATAAGATGAATTTAAAGCTAAATTTTTAGTGGCCGGAGAGATGGCTCAGCAGTTAAGAACACTGGCTGCTCTTCGGGAGGACCTAGGCTTGAGGACCAGGACCTACATGGTAGCTCACAACTGTCTGTAACTCCAGTACCCAGTACTCAGGAGCTTGCTGCCACAGGGTGAGGAACTTGTACGGCTTCAATGCATGGTAGAAAGCAGAAGGGTGAGCAGGCTCGTGTAGAATGAGCTAAGTGGAGGGGATAGCCTCACTTCCTAAAAATTCTCTCTGGGTGACTAATGTGGGGCCCGCAAGAGCAAGCACTGGCTCCTATGAGAAAGGTATCCATCTTGCTTACCAGCCTAGCACCCCCTCTCTGGGCAGGGTTTCTCTGTTGCTTTGGAACCTGTAATCGAACTAGCTCTTGTAGACCAGGCTGGCTTTGAACTCGCAGAGATCCGTTGCCTCTGTCTCCCGAGTGCTGAGATTAAAGACGTGCTCCACCACCATTCGGTCAGTCTATCCCTCTTTTTTCACAGTCCACCTCCCCATACTTTCGGAATACCATTCACTCCTCAACATGAGTTCCAGGAGGACACACCCTCCCCGGTCTATGTACCACATTTGCAGGGGCACAGCCAGACAAGCTCTGGGTACTCACTGCCTGTGATCACTGCCCGCCCCTGCCCCTGTCAGGGGCTTGTCACTTCATCTGAAGACTTCCCAGGTTATGTCAGGGTGGGCCAACATGCTTGTTGCTGTTCCTTTCGGTAGGCACTTTGCTTGCCTTTCTTCCCCTTGGTTCAGGCTGCTGCTGCCTCTCCCTGATGCCAGATGTCTTGAGCTTCATCAAAAGTGGAGTCTAAGCTTCTATTTCGTGCTCTCTCTTTCACCGTTGTTTGTTTTTGGGTAAATTATAGGGGGGAAATGGGAGGGAAGGCAAAAGAGCCTCATTTTTGTCTTAAAACCAAAATTACAATTATATTTGTATATGGTTTTTATGAGGAGAGAGGGTCCCTGCACGTGACCTCGACTGCACTCTTATAAGGATATTAGGCTTGAAAATCACGCAGGTTTTTTATGTCATTGGCCTGATGTCATCATGTCGTCTCTGGCTTTTTACAACCATGTGTGAACCCAAAATTTCAAATGCATCCTACTGTGAATATCTGCCTTGACCTTAAATGATACTTAGGAAATACTTATAAAGTATATTTCTGGCCGGGCAATGGTGGCGCACGCCTTTAATCCCAGCACTCGGGAGGCAGAGGCAGGCGGATCTTTGTGAGTTCGAGACCAGCCTGGTCTACAGAGCTAGTTCCAGGACAGGCTCCAAAGCCACAGAGAAACCCTTTCTCGAA